CTGAGGAGATGACATTTATGTTGAAACCTAGAAATGAGAAGGAGCCAGCTATGACATGACATGACATGACATGACATGACATGACATGACATGACATGACATGACATGACATAGGCAAGGACAACTGGCTTTGGGTGACTAGGTGGATAGTGGAATGGTGGAGGGGAGAGGAAACTGGGGGAGGGGGGAGGGATGGAGAATTCTGCTTTGAGGAGACATATTAAATTTGAAATCAGTGGGTACCCAAGCAGAGATCAGGAGTCTGGAGCACTGGCAATTCAGTGATGGGAGCCAAGGGTTACAAGCGGTACTTAAAATCACGAGCCAGGGCAAGATCGCCCAGTGCTTGAGTGTAGACAGAGGTCCAGGACTTAGCTGGGGCACACAAACGTGATCTGATCAAGAGAAGGGTCGATCGGAAGAGAGGGACCCAGGGTACCAGTGAGGACTTTGTACCTTCTGGCTTGGGCCACTCAGGAGAGGGTCCTGCAAGCTGTGGGGACCAAATAGAGAGAATGGGAGGTGAGCGAGTACACAGCGAATGTGGACGTTGCTTTGGAGGCATTTGTCATTGAGGGGAGTAGAGATGGGGCGGAGGCTGGTGGGACTTTAGGCTCGAGGCGGGCTGAAAAAGACCTGAGAACCCAGGACGGGTTTGAGTGGGGATGGCACTGAGTCGGGGCTGAGCGGGTAGGCGAGGCGCTCCGGGGAAGATGGCCCTTCTAGGCGAGGGCAGCTCAGCCCAACTGGGGACTCCGCCCAGGGTCCGGCGGCGTCCAGGGACTGGAGCGCTTGCCTTCAGGGACCACAGTTCCCGGCATGCCAAGCGCCCGCTTCCGGGGCGGGACCCGGAAGTACTTAGAGGAGCTCGGTCAAGACGCCGTGGGCAGGATTGTTGACCATTTTCCACGCTCGGTAGTCCTGCCGCCGCCGCCGCTGCCGCCATGGGGAAGCGACAACACCAGAAGGACAAGATGTAAGTTGAGCCCTACCCAGGCGCTCCTGGCTCTGCCTGAGTCCTGCCCTGCCTCAGTCCCCGCCTGTCCCGCATTCTGCGGTGCCCCCCTTCCCTCTTTCGGAGTTGGTCCCCAGAGCCCCTCCCAGGTGTCGCTTCCATCCGAAGCTTCTGCCTCCTCCCGAAGCTTCCGCCTCCTCCCCAGAGGGTTAATTCCCCCCGAGCCGCCGAGATCTCCCGGGATCCCGGCTTTGGAGGCGTCTCCTCTAATAGACCTTAGGTGTCCTCACCTGGGCGCGGCCTTCCCGCCGCCTCGGCGCTACTCGGACACAGCCCCCTCGACTTCGCTTTTGCCCTGGACCGCCCCCCTCTCCACTCACGAGCTCTGCTCCTGAATTAGCCTCCTGTCCCTCCCAGTGTGCTGGTTCACGCCCATCAGCTTACACACATGTACAGAATCTTCCAGTTTAAAACAAACCAACCTTACTCATATTTCCCTCCAGCTGCCACCGTGTTTCTTACGTGAAAGAGCTGTGTGTACTTGCTGTTTTCTGCTCTCTCTTGAAACTACTTCAGTCAGACTTTAGTGTTTCCAGCACTACTTTTGTAAGGATCCCAGTAACTTCCATTTTGCTAAATCTAGTGGTCAATTTTGCTAAATCTAGTGGTCAATTCGCAGTCCTCATTTTGTTGGGCTCCTCAACAGCATACGATACAATTGACCACTTCTCTCCTTCTGAAGCCCTTCTTTGGGATCCTCCTTCCCATCTCCCAGTGAGTGATCTGTCTAGTCTTGCAATAGTCAGCTGCTTACTCGACATCTCCACTTGGAGGTCCAGTACACATCTCAAATTTAATATGCCCCAAACACAACCCTTGTTTTTCAGTTCCTGAGCCTGCCCCTTCCCCATTTTCCCTATCTCAGTTTGCTCAGGTTAGAAGTCTGGGAGTTAGCCTTGGTGCCTCTTTCCCTCAGCAATTATTTTCCTCTAGTCCATCAGTAAGTCCTGCTGGCTCTTCCAGGAACTGACCACTTTCTTGCCCACCAATCCCCACATAGGCGGAGTTTATGTCAACTCCTTGGACCTTTGCAGTCATCTCCTGATTAGATTTCTTTCCTTTTTTTAAAGGTTTAGCCTCATCAAGAGAGCAGTTTTGTTTTATTTTTTAAATTTTTTTAGTTTATCTTTACTGTTGAGAGTATTACAGGTGTCCCATTCCCCCCCCCCCCANTCTTTATTGTTGAAAGTATTACAGGTGTCCCATTCCCCCCCCCCCAATTGACCCCCTCCACTTTGCTTCCACCCCCTTCCCAGGA